TAACAAGTTAATTCAGAAGTTTGAATTTTCATCTAATCACTCAAACTAGCCACCGTAGGATGTGTTTTATTTTAATCAAAACTCAAATTCATAAAATTAAAACTAGCCACCATAGGAAATGTTTTAGTTTAATCAAAACTCAAGTTCATAAAATTAAAACTAGCCACCATAGGAAATGTTTTAGTTTAATCAAAACTCAAATTCATAAAATTAAAACTAGCCACCATAGGAAGTGTTTTAGTTTAATCAAAACTTAAATTCATAAAACTTGACCATTCTTCTAATGACTGCTAGAAAACATTAGATTTTTTAAAGCAAAATATATTTAATTTGTCAAATTAAAAACTCACTATCCGTTATCCACATATGGTAAACAGAAAAAATATAAAAAAGCATTATTTATTTATGCTAACATCCTTAGCAAGAGCTCTTTATTATAAGTCCAAGCCACGAGTGTCATAATTTTCAGTATGATTTGATTAAATTTTCATTGAATTCAAATACAAAAAGTAAATAATGTTTCTATTTTCAATAGTTGTTCACTTATTATCTTAAAGTAAAAATGCAAGAGTAAATATATATATGCTTGTTTGATTGTTAGTAATTAATCACAAAGTTACACAAGGGGCTATCTGTGCTGTGCCCACCATGAGTACTGAAACCGGTTTTTAGCGTTGTCACTCCGTAAACATATCGCTAAGCTACTGGGGAGGGGTGGGTGGCAACTATATACAAATTATATGTACAATTATCCAAAATATATATGTATTAAAACAATTATAAAACCTGCTAAATGTGCAAGTTTAAGCATGAAGAGCATTCAGTTTTTCTTAAAGAATTTAAATCGCAATTTATTCTAGACATAGGGAGAAGTTTTCACTTTATTGTTATTCGTAGCCTTAACTATGAATATAAAAGCATCTTCACAACCTAACCATAAATATAAAGGCTTAATTTCAAGCGGAATCCAATATACATTTCTTCTCCTCCTCCTTATTCCTCTGTAGGTGTGAGGGAGATATAAACATCTGTGTTTCTCTGCTTTAATGGGCAGAGTGATTTACCTGTTGATGCTGCTGTCAAATTCACCAGTCTATCTTCGAGGGCTTCTCTTTACATTATTTTCGTTGATCTGAAGATTGTGCGATATTTGCTTGCCCTGTTGTTGAATACTGTCTTACTAGGTGTCCAATCCATCTCGTCTCTCTCACTTGGATGTAGTGGAAAGTTGGAGGCACTTCTAGTAGTTGTCTGATGGCTTAATTTCCTGTTCTATCTCTATCTCTTACCCTCTGTTACTTTTCTCAGACATCCCATTTTTAATCGTTACAATATTTTGTTTCTGTGTCTTTTGAAAGAATTCAAGTATGGCACACGTATAAGAATGTTGGGGAAATATGGTGGATACCCAGTTGAACCTGGTTTTTGTTTAGATATTAACAGGGGTAAAAAGTGGCAAGATTTGTCAAATACTTGATTGACTTTCACACAATGTTTTTTATATTTCTCGGTCCAGCTTGCCATCCTCAGTGAAAAGGTTACTCAAATAATTAATCTCGGGGACATATTTCGTGGTTTTTGTCTTAACTGTTAGCTGCTCATCAATATATTTTCTGTTGAAAATAGTACATTCTGTCTTTTTTATGTCTATTTTTATATCGTGTGGCATATTCTAAATTTTGATTCATTAACTTGAAGGTAGATTTTATCTCTTGGTTGGTTGAATATACTGTGGTTGTCAATAAAACACAGAGGTTTCAGTCCTTCATCTACATGATTTGTTTAGTTACAGAAGTTGTCGATATGTGCAATCAAAAATAAGTGTGACAATATGCAGTCTTGTCTGGACAAACTGAACCAGGCCGTTGATCCTGTCTTTGTTCTGCTATAACTCTAATATAGTGGGGAGCTCGACTCGCAATCTGCGGGTCGCGGGTTCGAATCCCCGTCCCACAAAACATGCTCGCCCTTTCAGCCGTGGAGGCGTTATAATGTAACGGTCAATCCCACTATTCGTTGGTAAAAGAGTAGCCCAAGAGTTGGCGGTGGGTGGTGATAACTGCTAAATTAGGGACGGCTAGCGCAGATAGCCCTCGTGTAGCTTTGCGCAAAATTCAAAACAAACAAACTAATACGGAGCTCGTGCAATGCTGATAATTTAAAAAGAAACGCCATACTTTAAAATTTCCTACAGTACGTGTCTGTCAACTCTATCGAAAGCCTTTTCTTGGCCGATAAAAACCGTTGTTAATTTTTTATCATGTCTATTACTTTTTATTATTTGTCTAAAACTGAAAATTGCACTAGTACAGCTTCCGTTCCCTTTAAAGCCATCTTGTACTTCATTAAAGTTGAAGTTCAATGGTGGATCATAGTCTTTTTTCAATGTTCTTGGCTGACATATTTCCTGTGTGGCTTAGCAATAAAATTCCTCCATAAATAGTGCAGTCTTTTTGCTTCTTTTTTTCCAGATAAGTATAATAATAGCTCTTAGCCAAATGCTTGGTTCTTGTTGCTATTTCTAAGCACCTGCGTGGTGCTTGTTGCTGTTTCCAAGCCATTTGCATGTTTATATGGGCCCATTCCTCTCCTGTTTACCTAACGGCTTTGATTATTTCTGCTGTAATATTGTCAATGCCAATAAGCTTTGCCAGTTGCTTTTCTCCTGATCGCTTTTCTATCTTCGTTCAACAGGTCAGGTTCGTCATCTTCTGTATGTTAGCCCTGATATTCCCATGGGATTGAGATCCTAAAGGTACTTTTTCCATCTTTTGAGTTTTTTCTTCATCTTTCATAATTGGAGTTCCATCTTTTCTATTAACAATGTTTATAGAGTCGTGCGTTCCTTTCTGTTCCTCATTACTTTTATGTTCTTACAGAAATCTCTGCTGATCAGTTAATCGCCAAATTCTTGCCATGAGCCTGTCTTAGTTTTGTCAGTGGTTCTTTTGGCAGTCTTTCTGGCTAGCCTTTAATATGCACAATATTCATCCTTTTTAGTCATTTCTCACTTAGTTTTTTTTATATGTACTGCATCCTAAGCTTCCTTGTTCGTTATCTTATTCTTTGGGACCTTTCCTTTCTTATTTGTTCCGCATAATTTCGCTGATATGTTGTCAATGATCTTATTCAGTTGTTTCCTTTAAAAATCATCTTGTCTAGTTTCTATCTTTTTCTCTCTAGTTGTTGATATTGTTGCTTGGATCGAGTTTCTAGTTGGTGCCTTGTGATTTATACCAGTATAATATATGTAAAACAAAATATTAAAAACAACAACATTAAAACCAAATATGCAACAGTCTTTATAGATAAACAATATATTTTAAAGTCCCATCAAATATTTATAGGATGGTTAGATTTCAAATTTTACAATATAGTTATGTCAACATTAAGTTCAAGGCGTGTCTACAGATGGAGTTATCACTTACAGTTGTAAGGCAGTTTTGCTTACCTAAATTTTTACAAGTTCGATCACTGAATGAAGTCCACCGTGTCACGCTGAACAGCCTAAGTAGACCTAATAAAATCTTATCATATTCAATACTAGCTGCGTTACCCGGCATTGCACGGTGAAAATTTAGATCTGAAATGTATAGATTAGTATTTTTTCAGCAAATTATTCAGTAAGTAGACAAAAGCTGTGATGCGAGAAATAAAAAAAGTATTTAA